CAAATGCCTTCTCTCCCATTCTCTCTCCACAGCAATTTGCAGGGAAACGCTTTCTCATATCCTTGTGTGAGTGTATGACTCCAGTCCTGGGAGACACAGCTACATCAGGTGGTTAAGGGATCCAACCCCTAAGCCCTTCTTGTCTCTCCTGAGGATGCAGCGCGACCTTCTCTTGGAGCCCTGACCCCTCTGCAATGAGAGGACCCTGGGGAACCCCTGTGTGTCCACACTGGTGGAAACATCCCCCCTATTAGCCCTCCGAGGTCCCAGGCACCAGTGGAGACTCAGCTTAGTTCTCTGTTCCCTGCTGGGGTTCCACCTGCATCTGGAAATTTCATTTCCCGTTTACTTGCGTGTGTCTGTGGCTGCATATTTCAGACGTACTGTGAGTGGCAGTCCTGGTATTCTGAGCAGACAAGGTCTCCGGTGGGCACACGAACCAGCCACCTGACTGCAGAGTCTGGCCCCAGGACCCCGTCACCGCAACAGGACCCCCAGCCCATGCTCGTCCCCCCTGGTCTGGAAACTCACAGCTCCCATCCCTCCCGTGACCTCGACACCAAATCCCCACAACCACTCGGGGGGCTGAGTTAGGACGACATGCCGCAGATGGGAACTAAGGCTCAGAGCAAGGACATTACCTGCCAAGGTCATGCTGGCAGAGGATGATCCAGGAGTAGTTGAATGAAGATCCACTTTCCTTCAAAATCAGAGCTCTAGCCCAAATAAATATCCCCTGATGCGAGCACACAGGACCCCCCAGGGCGGGGAGGACGGCTGTGTCCTAGGAACAAGGGGCACCGAGGAGCCAGGAGGGACGCGCAGCGATATTCCCAGGAAGGGGGGAGGTGGACAATGCCAGAGCAAAACAGAGAAGTTCATGGAGGTTGTGATGGAAAGAGAACCTACACTGCAGGGGCCAGGAGAAGGGTTGTGTTTCCTTCCCCATTTGCCTGTATTTCTCCTCGGGGCTCATTGCCATCGTGACCTCGACCTGAGCCAAGCAGAAATGTCACACAAGTGTCTCTGCTGAGATGAGCTCCCAGCACAGCAGGAACCCACGTCCCCTGCAGCATCTCTGGGATCTGGGGCCCCGTCCACGCTGAGGACCCCAGGGAGGTGCTGAGGATGAAGGAGAACCATGGGGGAGGCTCTGGGAGAGAAGGACATGCCCTGGTCTCCTCACCTGGATGGGGCATCGCAGGGAGCCTCGGGGTCCACTTGCTGCACCATCATGGACACCAGAGCCAGACTAGGCCCTGAGGAGGGGCTCTTCTCCTTCCTGTGGGGCTGCTGACGTGACAACCCCGTGACAAGGAGGATCAGCCTCTGCGTGACCACACCCTGTGTGTCTGCCCGTCCTGTGGGCACCAAGGTCCCTCCCTAGGCACTGCTAGAGCCAGAGACAGGAGACGCCATGACCCCCACCCTCACGGCCCTGCTCTGTCTCGGTGAGATCTGAGGGGGGCAGGGGACGCCCTATTTTGGGAGGGACCTGCCCCACAGCCAGGCCCTGGGCTGTCAGAGGCCCCAGACTCAGAGCCTCACGGGAGGAGGGGTTCTGCTCAGGATTTGGGGCAAACCTCTCACAGGAACTCTCTTCCAGGGCTGAGTGTGGGCCCCAGGACCCGAGTGCAGGCAGGTGAGTCTGTCCCCAGGGGTCCCAGGCCCACCTCCTCACTGGGGACAGGGGTCACCCACCAGGCAGAGGGGATGGAGAACAGCAGTTCTGGGCTGACAGACGGGGACGTCTGGGGGTTTGGGGCAGAGCTGGGACCTGCGGGGGCGAAAGGTCTTGTGTCCCAGCCTCTGTTTCCTTCCAGGGACCCTCCCCAAACCCACCATCTGGGCTGAACCAGGCTCTGTGATCCCCTGGGGGACCCCTGTGACCATCTGGTGTCGGGGGAGCCTGGAGGCCCACGACTACCGCCTGCAAAAAGAGGTAAACTCAGGGACCTGGGACAAACAGCCTGCACTGGAGCCCAGGGACAAGGCCAAGTTCTCCATCGGATACATGACAGATGAAGATGCCGGACGATATCTCTGTTACTGTCGCAGTCCCACTGGCTGGTCAGAGCCCAGTGACCCCCTGGAGCTGGTGGTGACAGGTGCGAGCCCACTCAGGGTCCCAGCCCCAGGCTCTGCCCTCAGGAAGGGGGTCTGCTGCCAGGTGTCTCCCTCTCACAGCCCAG